TTGGAGGGGACCTCTGCCATTTGACCAAGGGCACACAGAGGGATGGCAGAAGCCACCATTTACTAAATATCCATATGTAATTGTGATGGTGTTCACATTTCTGCCCACAATGCAACCTAAGAGACAGATCTCATTTTTCATATATTATTGTGGAAATTGAGGCCTACAGAGACCAAAGAATTATTCAAAGACTGCACAGCTATTGATAATCTGAGGACTGTAGTTGAGCCTAGTTTGACTCTAGAATCTTCAGTCTCATTAGTATCCAGGGCAGTGAAGGAAACCAGCCGGGTGGCTGGTGATAGACCACCTAGGGACAGGCTCCTGCCAGCAGTGCAGACCTTGGGTTTGAGCCCAGGAGGGAACCCATTCATCAGGCTGTTATAGGTGTTTTTTCTGAATGGAAACAGCTCTGTTAAATGAAGTTCAAGGGTGAGGATTACTTCCAGGAGCAGGGACAACTCAACGGTAGCTGTATTGGGAGAAAGCTGTCAACATGGTGACAATTCAAAAAAGCTGTCCTCCTGGGACTCTGCATAACCCACAGGCAATTCAACGGCCTGGCATCTCCCTTCTGCAAGCCTGGTTGCTCAGAAACCCCCTCTGCAGTTATTGGCTGCATCTATTACCTTGGGGAGGGACACGTGTGAACCTTGTAACTTGTAGCTTTCCCAGACATGTGAAATTTTGCCTCCTTCACTAAATGTCCTGAGCCTCCACTCCTTCACATGGAAGGGCCCAGCCTTCTGTGGGTGGTGCTGGCCCTGAGCAGGTGGTCCTGGGATGCATTAGAGAGCAGACGGAGCAAGCCGGCAGGAGCAAGTTAGTAATCCCTGTTCCTTCATGGCCTCTGCTTAATTTCCTGCCTCCAGGTTTCTGCCCTGACTTCCCTCAATGGGCTGTGTTACTCAGGGTGTGTGAATCAAATAAATATCATTCTTTTCAAGTTGCCTTTGGTTGTAGCCTTTTATCACAATAACAGAAAGCAAGCGAACGCAGTCATTAATCAAGAAAGTTCCCCCATAGACTTGTCTACAGCCCTATCTGTTGGAGACATTTTCTTAATTGATGATCCTTCTTTCTAGATGGCCTTAGCTGTGTCATGCTGGCAAAACTTCAGTTAGCGCGGGGAACTTCTGGGGCAGGGCCCAGCCGTCTCCCTTGGTTAACTCAGAACTGCTAAACCAGCAGGTGAGGGGGAGAGGAGACGGTTAGGGCTGCCCAGATTCTGATCTGTCTATTACTGCAGTGGTTACACTATCAGAACATTTAGGGTGAGAACCTGGGAGCTCTACCAACTAGGCATCTCCACCCTCTGCCACTGCCACCACAGGATAACTCAATAGCTGTCATAGTGAAACACGGGAAACATTGGGAAGAGGAACAAAGAGGTCCTGCGATCTCCCTCAAGTCCATCTTCAGGTCCTAAAACAAAATTTGGATTTAGAGGTCAAGAGGTATGTTATGTGTCACTAAGCCATCATTGTGGTCTCAGCTGTCTCTCCTGGAAGATGAGCTGACAAGCTGCCAATCTCCAGGAGATGAGATCCCACTTTGTTCCTCTGACTGGCACCAGGCCCCCAGCCTTTTCATTTTCCTAGGATGGAAGTCCTGGGGAAATCCCAATTGCTTGGAGTTCATTGCCTCAACAGTTTGATCGCCAAAGGTTGGGGCACAGATGTCTTATGGAACGGCTTCACTTCTGCTGGGATGACTGAAGCTCTGGCTTTGCTTTAATGGCCTCAGAACCACACACACTAGCTGGACTCTTAGGACAGAGCCAGGGACTCCGCCCTGGAGAGTGTGTTTAAAATGCAGACTCTAGCCTTTCCTGCTCCAGGTCCTGAGGGTGATTGTGGAGGAAGGGTGAGAGAGCAGAGGTTCTGAGACAGCCAGTCAGAAAAACCACACAGTGAGAAACAGACCCTGAAGCTGCTTCTTCTGGAAAATGCTGCAGTCACACGAGCCTCTTGGGCATCATTGAGTTGAGAATTCTAGAGTTCTTTCTAGCAAATAGAAGCAGAGACCTTGTATTTACAATGTCAAAGGTTTGATGTTGGGCTTGAGCTTGTGTGATGATGTGCTTCAGGAAATTGTCTGTTTCACAGGCCCAGATGTGGCCCAGATGTTTACCAGATGCCCACTATTCGTGAGGGCCTATGCTCCCAATCAGGAAAGGATCAGTGGACCAGAGAAGAGCAGAAGGAGCAAGCACCATCTCAGTCTATGTCTGTGCCTCCCTCTGTGGTCCTCAGACATCAAAGGCATGCTAATGCCGGGGAACAGGCATGGTTTTCAAAGTCTGCCTCCCTGGGTGGGTGCTTTCTTTTATGTCATGAAATAACATGAGCAAAGGAAACCTGTGGCTTTGTATTGGCCTCCTGTGGTGCAAAGTTTCTGAGATGTGGAGTCTCACACCGAGTCCTTTCACAGAGGATGTGAGATGAAAGAAAGATTGGACAGTAGGTGCTGGCCTTTCACAGGAGGACAGTGGGTGCTGAGGGTGACTATGGATCTTTTCCCCTTCAGGGCTGACCACAGGCTATGTGGTTCTATCAACAGTAGCTCTGCAGTGCTTCTGGGAGCCTGGAGGCTTTGGCTTTCAGTGACAGAAACACTAAGGCTGCAGAGAGGCTCTCTGGCAGAACTCTCACCGGTTACCCTGGGCTGACATTTGTGGGAACAAAACCTGAGCTCTCCGTAGCTAACAAGCTCTGCTCTGTTCCCTGAGCTTCCCAAAGGAACAGAGCCAGTTTTGGATCTAAGACTTTGTGATGTGTGTATGTTAAATATGCTTTTTTCCATTTTATATATTTTTGCTCCTTTGTTAAAAGCAGGTGTTTGTAGGTGTGTGAATTAATATCTGGTCTTTGATTCGGTTCCATTGGTCCTCCTGTCTGTTTTTATGCCAGTACCAGGATGTTTTCAGTACTATAGCTCTGTTATAGAGGACTTTTGATGGGTACAGGAATGGCTAGGAAGGGGTGTGTGTGTGTGTGTGTGATTTCACTGTTATGTTGGGCAAGTCTGACTCTTGGAACTGAGCGTGCATGTGTGCACATGCACACACACACACACACACATGTGCATGCATTGTTTATCTCCTATGTATTTGTTAGCCTGGTGCAGGAGAATTGTCTGTATTCTGTCAATCATGTTTTAAATAAACGCTGATTGGCCAGGCAGAAAGTATAGGTGGGACAACCAGACAGGAAGTAAAGGTGGGGCAATGAGAATAGGAGAATGCTGGGAAGGAGGAAGCCCATTCCTCCTGCCCAGACCACCAAAGAAGCAGGATGTTACTTGCCCCTCTGAAAAAGGTACTGAGCCATGTGACTAACATAGATATGAACAATGGGTTAATATAAGTTACAAGAGTTAATAAGAAGTCTGAGCTAATGGGCCAATCAGTTTATAATTAATGCAGACTCTCTGTGTGATTTTCTTTGGGGCTTACCAGCTGTGGGAACTGGGCAGAATGGAAACCCCAACTAGCAGGCCCTCATGTTACAGAATGGCTCCCACATGGACAATTGCATCCATAAAAACCTGACAGAGCTTGGGAAATTATTCTAGATAAAAAAGAATAGAGTTAATCATGGCTTCTTGGTAGCAGCAATTTCTTGGGTCTGCTCTGCTTGCTAGAGGCAAGCAAGCACTCTCATTTAAGTGAGGCTTCCTGACTCAGCTTTAGCAGCAAAACCTTGCAGCTCTTTTAAGAGGTCCTGCCATGAAACACTTAAATGGTGTTGCTGAAAAGCTGACCATATGCTTTTTTCAGCCATAACAGGAAAAAAGCCATGCTGTTTTAAAATGCTGGCTTTCTTGGTTGTTCTGCCAGGGCAAACTCTGATTCTTTCAGGCAGGTGGTCCAACTATGGAGCTTTTTAGTGTGGTTTGTGAGCACACTGCTGCAGCTTGCTTGCTGGCAGGGACCTTGAAACTCCATAAAGTTGTGGCAGTAAACATGGCTATAGCCCTACCTCTGCCAGGAGGCTGGAATTGCAGAAAGCTAAGGAATGGCCGTCAAGGCCATGGCTTTAATCCTACCCAAATTGCTTAGTAAATTAAAGACTCATGTGGTCAGAAAAAGAGAGAGATATACAGTAAAGATAGATTCAAAGATAAAGAAAACCTCTAAATGGTTTACTATGTGTTAAAAATATATTCTGGCTAAAGGTTACAGTCCTTAAAATAAAAAAGAAAGAGAGTAGTTGGGTGTGGTGGTATACACCTTTAATCCCAATGCCTGGGAGACAGAGGCAGACAGATCTCTGTGAGTTCAAGGTGTGGTAGCACACGCCTTCAATCCCAGCACTTGGGAGGCAGAGACAGGTGGATCTCTGTGAGTTCAAGGATGGCCTGGTCTACAGAGTGAGTTCCAGGACAAAGATATACAGAGAACTTGTCTCAAAAAGCCAAAAAGTAAAAGTAAAAGAAATAAATGTTAAAATAAAGCCACATAAAGATGGAAAACACACAGAGAATCTTGATACTGTATGGTATTATGCTCTCTTTGAATTGTTTGAAAGCTGAGGATGAAGCAACTGCTGCTAAAAGATATTTGTTTATAAATGCTGCTGAATTAATGCAAGATAGGTATTTTGAAAATACCTTGATTTCAAAATTGAAGTCAAAATGTATGTTACTTTTGAGAAGAGGTTTTCCTTTTGTTTCCACAGAAAATGAGAGACTGTGGTTTCATTCTGAGTTAAGAAAAATCAGGTTTGATCAAGAAAGACCATCTGAGAAATCTCCGATAGGAACAGATAGCCTAGATGTCTGAATTCTACATCCAGAACAGATTCAAGACTGCTGCCTGAGATGATCAAGCCTCACAGGATACTAACAAGAGCCCTACCTTTCCCACTTCCTCCTCAGGGTGATGTCAGATCAGATGAGACAATGTTTGCAGGGGGTCTCTAATGTTGAAGTGTCTAAATGTCTGAATGTCTAAAACTCCCAAGGGTGCTCTCTGATTAACCTCGTGTAAATTGCAGTAAGAAGAAGGAATTTTTGAGAAGACAAGCAGAGCTCTGAAACTAAAGAGGAAATGACGACACACCCTCCAAAGTGACTCTCATATTCTGGCCTCTGTAGGATGCAGGGGGAATTCCTTTTGTGCCCGTGGGTTGTAGGATAACCTCAGGACCTTGATCTGCCACTTCTGTCTGCCTGGTGTGATGGGTAAGGCCTGAACTACGAACTGGAAGAGTGACCTTCTGTTCCTATTTCTTCAGCAACAGGCAGCCCTGGTGTTTAGATCTGGTGTAACCTTTTGTTATACAAGACCCTGCAGCCCCAGGTTCATGTCCATGGACTACCATCATTAGAAATAACCTCCCAATCCGGGCTCTTCCCACCTGTCAAAAGAAGGAAGAGTGTAAAGCACACTGCAAAAGACACCTCTGCGACCATTGGGAGAAGTGTGAAGAAAATATACAGGGAAAATCCTGTGTCCCTAGTTGTATTTGTTTGGTCATGAAGTGGTTACTGACTGTGGTCCAGTCATGAGGACTTCTTCTTCTCCTCATCCCAAGAGGATGAAGGTTCACAGCTCTTGTGGTGAACAGCTTCATGGTGAGCCGGTCACAGTGTGCTGGCCACATCCGTGCCTTGCTGGCCTTAAGACCAATCAGGATGCTTGCCTCTCTGTTCTTTGGAGATATGGCACTGCTGTGACTTTAATAATAAGAGCATTGCCTGTTTTGCTGCTGGCTAAAGTGGCCTGGTGTGTGGATGTGAGCCCACAAGGCAGAGTTAGGGTTTCTGCTCCTCCTGATCCTCACCCCATAACTGGAAACTGGAGAGGCTTCTAATACCCAATACCCAAAGTTTTAGTCCCGATGTGGCCACTGCACTTGCTATTCCTTTTCTGTAAGGTGGAGCTACTTGACACTACCGTCTTCCTCACTGGCATCTAGAGTCAAGGGGACAATGCACAGGGGTGTTCCCGCAGGACGACACCTCACAGGCAATCGCTCTTATTCTTAATCCACTTCCTGTCTTCACCTAAGCAAGCGCTTTCTAGTCAAAGAACCTGCCATCTCCATCACACTGACTCTCCTGCTAGCACACACACACACACGCACACACACACACACACGCACGCACACACACACATATGTGTGTATGAGTATTTGCCAGCACCCACACAGACCAGAAGAGGGTACAAGATTCCCCTGGAACTGGAGTTACTGATGGTTGTGAGCTGCCCTGTGGGTGCTGGGAACTGAACCTGAATCCTCTAGAAGAGCAGCCAGTGCTCTTAACTGCTGAAGCATCTCTCCAGCCCCCTCTCTACTTTCTATAGTGGAAGCAAGCAGAGGCTCCCCTTTTAAACTGTCTCTCTCAAGCTGCTGCGACAGTAATGGAACACTGAGTAACCCAGAGGGGAGGCTCCAGGTTTGTTCTCTGAGGCTATGGGAAGAGAGAGAGATGACATTGTTGGCAAGCAAGGATGGGGGAGACTCTTCAAGACCATTTTCTGGACTGAGCTCCCAGAGTACAGTCGAAGAGAGGGAGGAGAGATAATATGGGCACAGGGGTCAAGACCATGATGGGGATACTCACTGAAACAGCCTACCTGAGCTAATGGGAGCTCACTGATGCCAGGCTGACTGCGGGGACCGGGGCAGGGGGTCACACACCAGCATAGGACCAAACTAGGCCCTGTGAATGTGCATGACAATTATTTGGCTGGGAGAGTCCATGGGGTCACTGGCAGTGGGGCTAGGATTTAATCCTACAGCTTGAACTGGCTTTTTAGAACCCCTTCTCTGTGGAGGGATACCTTGCTCAGCCTAGATATAGTGGGGAGGGCCTTGGTCTTGCCTCAAAGCCATTTGCTAGGTTTTGTTGACTCCCCATGGAAGCCTTACCCTGAGGAGTAGATGGGGGGTGGAGTGGGGAGAAGGGGAAGGAACGGGAGGAGGGGAGGGATTGAAAACTGGGATTGGTCTGAAAATTTTCAATTAAAATAATAATAATAATGAGCATATTCTAATTACTTCTTTCCCTATCCTAAGGATTTCTGAACACAAGTATGGCCCCCTGGAGTCAACCTTCCCGTGTGCCTTATGAAATCACACAGGGTGAGGCTTCCTTCACTTTGTGGGTAAAAAACGGAGAATGTTTTTGCTACTTAACAATAAAAAAGGATAAATACCAGTTCTGGAAATGACTCCCTAGGCTCACAGCATGGAGCTCTTTTCTGAAAGTCTCTGCTGGGACATGCTTTGTCCAGAAGCCTGGCTGAACTTCCCCATCCTGTGAAAACCCACCCAGTCCTTCGGCTCAGTTTCTCCTGTGTCCTCACTCCCATGGTCTTGGTGCGATTGGCGGGGGTCCACCTACTTCGCACTTTTATCATGAAATCTGGAGAGAGGCCAAGGGTCTGTGGAGAAATTTCCCCAGCAGATGATTCAGAAAAGGTGTCCTGAGCCGGCCCGTGTGTCCCCTTCTCCCCTGCCATCAGCTTCCTAGAACTGTACAATCATGTGCTCCCAGAGGCCTGGAGATGGAGGATGGGAGGGGGCAGGGAACAGATAGACAGACACACAGAGACAGAGAGAGAGAGAGAGAGAGACAGACAGACAGACAGACAGACAGACAGACACACACACACACACACACACACACACATACACAGGTCTTTGGGCCATTAGAGGAAATCACAACCGAACTTGACTAGTTCCATTTGATGAGAACAGTGAGCCAGGATGATAGATGTTCTTTTAATAAGCTGACATTAAGGTTCCAGAAAAATGTCCACAGCCTTATTTTTCATATTTCTAAGTTTACATTTTTGGCTCACTGTGCATGCTAATCTCCTGACTTTATACGAACAAAAAGCTTCCACTTGGCTTCTGCTCACGCTGGGAGCTTTGTTGGCTGTAGATTTAGAATATCTTCAATTATGAAAAACATTTATTGAGGTTACACTCAGATGATTCTTGGAAAGCTTGGAGGTGAAGAGCCAGGAGGAGGGAACAAAGGGGCAGCTCATGGGAAGACCAAGGATTCTGATGCTTCGGGAAGGGAGGGCTGGCATTCCGAACTTCTGTGGGCATTGCGGCATCCTATTCAGACCCGTTATCTGTTTATTCATGCACGGTTTCATCCAGTAAACGGTTCTGAATGCCTCTTATGGGTCCTGTGAAGCAGAAAAGCTCCACTTTCCCAGAGACAGGGAATTAAGGAAAACAGTGTGTGCAGCTATGTTAATGTTACTGAGAGTCAGGGGAAATACACAGAGACAGACTGAATCGTGTGTGTGTGTGTGTGTGTGTGTGTGTGTGTGTGTGTGTGCGCGCGCATGGGCTCATGCCTAAGCACATATGTGGTACAGAAAATCCATAGAGAATGTCACTATGATGGCTAATTTTTAGTTTCCACTTGATTGGATTTGAAACCATCTAGAAGACACACCTCTGAGTGTGTCAGTGAGTGTGACACAAGTGTCCTTGAATGTGAGGTGCACCGCCCGGTGGGCTGGGGTTATGGGTTGAATAAAAGGTGGAGAGGTCTAATCTAGCTGAGCACCAGCATTCACTGCTCTGCTTCCTGACTGGAGGTGCACTGTGATCAGCTGCCTCAGCCGTCCACCTCCATAGCAAGTCACACCTGCTGCCACGCCTTCTCTGCTACAGTGGACGACACCTTCCAACAGAAGAACCCTCCCTTCTTAAGTTTCTTTTGTAAGGCATTCTGTCATGGCAACAAAGAGCGAAACTATAACAGGAGGCCAGGAAGGCAAAAACCCTGCAGCGTTTCTTCAATTTCAGTGTGTACATGAACCACCTCAGCTGGGGCAGTTGGTTTTGTTGTTATTTATTACATATTATTTATTTGTGCCTGTGTAGGTGAATGTATAGAGGTCTGAGGTCAACTTTCAGGAGTCAGTTCACTTCTTCTACCATGTAGCTCCAGGGGCTAAACCAAACATATTCTTAAAAGTAATTTTTCTCATTTGTTTCTACTTCTTGGTACAACTACGAGACAATTTAATTTATGTGATTGCCATCTTTCCATTCTTCGTTTGTGCTCCTAAGATAGTTGGGTACCAAACCTCTCCAAGAAAGCAGGGATTTCTCCATGATTTTTTTTCTTCCCTTGCTGAACCTTTGGTGTGAGAATCAGGTTCAGTGTAGAGAAGGTTCTCCATAAATATTACTCTGTGAGTGAAAACTTTGGGGTGACTGTTTAATTTGACTACCTGCCTTGGGTTCTCTTTGTCATAACCTTTTCACAAGCTCCTCTGCACAAATATATTATCCGTTCCCCTAGAATAAAATTTAACATCATTGTATAAAAGGGTGAGGGCCATTTAATTGCTGTTCAGCACTGCCAAGTTAGCCTCAGAAAAGATTGAACTAATTTGCAGTGATGTTAGCATTGTCAATTGGTTCAGAATGCGCTCTCCTGTTGCCAACTTTGAAAGGCATGCAGAGAGAATAGCTATGGTTTGGGCAAGTTATTTAGCTTGCAGAGACTTGAACCCTTTGAAGTATAAAACAGAGATAACCTTGTGGGGCTGAAAATAAACTGAGTAAATGCCAAAATATTTGTACAATAGACTAAGTTTTATACACGATTGTATTTAGAAAGATTGGAATGACAGAGGTAGAGAGATGACTCAGTAGTAAAGTGCTTGCCAAGCAAGGGTAAAGACCTGAGATCAAGCCCCAGAACCTACAGAAAAGGCTAGGCATGGTAATATGCACTTGTCATCATAGAAGAGGGCAGGAGGAGACAGGAGGGCTCATTGACCAGTCTAGGTGAGTTGGCAAGTTGCTGGTTTAGTGAGAGACAATGTCTCAAAAAATAAGGTGGAGAGTAATGGAGGGGGGCACTAGCTGTTAAACTCTGTGTTCCACACAAAAGCACACACATGTGCACACACATGCATGTAAACACACTAAATAAAAGAACTGGAAATCATCCTTCCTTATAACAGTCAGATGAACAAATAGGTGACAGAAAGAGATGCCTACTTCGGGGATGAGCGCAGACGCAATCTGAGACAGACATAAAGTGGGTACCCGCTAGAGATACTTAAACTGCTAAAATAAGATGCGGTTGGGAGAAGGAGATAGCTTCTTCTTTTTGTGCACTTGATTTTCAAGTTTCAAAGATTTACCTTTAAATAGTTATAGGAGCCGATATCTCGTGTGTATCTAAGAACTTAATCCCAGGAATTTTTTTATTACAAAATGAGTTATGTTTCCTAGCAAACAAGAATAGAGTTCTGAATAAAAATTAGCCTGGGTGATGATTTGACAAGTTTAGGAGTGGGGCAGGGTGGCTCTAACTTGCCTAAGAGAACAGGAGGAAGCACCTTATGTGACCCTCAGTTGGAGGCCCACCACAGTGTGCCATGTTCCACAGACCCTATGTGACCAGAAACTGAAGCCTCTGAAACAGTCCAAAACAAGCCTTTCCACTCTAAAAAAAGACAGAAAAGACACTGATTGTAGAACATTGTGGATGGATTCAACCTCTGCCTAAGTCAGACCTTTTGACAGAATTACTAGCAAGAAGTAGATGTACAAGTTTGAAATGGATACTTTTGCCTGATTCAAGGTCTCTATTGAAAGTAGGCAAGCTCTTATCATCCATCCATCTATCCATCTATCCATCTATCCATCATCTATCCATCTATCCATCTATCCATCTATCCATCTATCCATCTAT